ATTTTAGATTATTAATTACTAATATATTAATATTATTTGTCCAAACCTAATTACGAAGCATGATTCTTCGTCAAATAAGATTCCGAAGTAACAGAAGCAGCCACGTAGGCTCAGCGCATTCTGGAATTATATATAGGGAGGATATATATATATATATATATATATATATATATATATATATCAATCACTCTGAATTCTATATTTAAAATACTTTTTACTTTTGTAATTATTACATTTTTAAAATGGTTACCATCCTATTTGTAACCTTTTTTACGGAAAAAATAATAAGTATACCTTTTTTTTTTTAACACGATGAAGATTACCCATAGATTACGATGATTATTTGCAAGCTAGTTTTCAACCTTTTGCAACCCTACCTTTTTAAATTTTTTATTAATATAAATAATATTTTACCCCAACACCACACACCAATGAAAAACCAAAAGAAAAAAATAAAAATAAAAAAATAGTAACAGGAAAGAATATAAAGAAAACAAGCCCCTCGAATCTCACTATTTCGTATTTTCATTGATCTCATTGAGCACACTATATCACACCTACGAGCATTTTTTGGAAGACAAATCCATCTTGAACATAGCGATAGCCTAGCGCGGCTTAACGGTAAGAGGTGTGTCCAGAGAAAATGGACTCACCCACATGTACAGGTTCGAGTCCTGAACTTGGGGTCCTTCTACCATTTTTTTTAAAAAAAAAAAAAAAATCCATCTTGAACATTTTATTTACCAATGAACCAATTGTCAATGCCTCATCCCAATGGTAGAAAATGCTACACGCACTATCATGGAATGAAGGAATTATCTATGCACATATTTTACTTCTATAAAATGTAAAGCTGTATCATTAAAAAATGAAATTAAATCAGTTTTTCTCATTTTATTAAGAGTATATCATATATGACATTCAATTGATATATTTATTTAGAAAGTAGCAGTATTGGGTTAAATTTCAAATTTATTCACGCGTGATCATTTTTATCAAGTGAGAATAATTATCATGTTGACAACTATTTCACTAAATAGAGAAGTAGGTGGCCCAAACTTGAGTATATCAGTATACGGATATTAATTACCTTTTGTGGATACAGAAAATTCTTGTTAGGAGACTCACACACCACTGCTAGGTGTGCGACCCGGGTCGACCAACGGATTAGTCGAGGCATAGTTCCGGATACCGTGTTTGGCTACCAAAAAAAATAAAAAATATTGTATACATTAATTAATTACCATAGATTACTTCCACCGCTAGTTTGCGACCCTTGGCCAAAACCGCATTGCTTTTTCAAAATTTTTATCTAAATAACATTTTACCCCCACACTACACACACCAACGAGCAAAAAGAAAGAAAAGAAACTAAGAAAATATGGTCCTCGAATATGGATATTTCCTTCACAGTGGTCTTGTTGAGCCTGTTGTTTTTCGTTTCCAATATAACCTCCTCCAAAGAAGGCGGCGGCGGCCAGTGGATTCCTCTCACGCGGTGCGAAATCGAGAGCAAGGACATGGTTGCGCTCGCAAATTACACAGTGAGCGAGCACAACAAAGAGAAAAAAAAGGATCTAGTGTTCGAAAAACTGTACAGCGGCTACAAACAGGTGGCCTCGGGACTTAATAAGTACAATCTTTCTGAAACAGCCACGGATTACGATCATTGCACCACACCTATCGGGAGCTGCGAAGGCACTCACGGGAACTACACCGCGGTCGTGTGGGTCCATGCCTTGAAGAACTTCACACAGCTCGTGTCCTTCAAAAAGATTAAATGAATGAGGGATAACGTGTAATCTTGAATAAATTTCAGGTGAAAAAAAAAGAAAAAAAAAACAATGTATTCAAAGATCAACTTAACCCTCTCTAAGTAAATTCTCATTGTCTTTGCATGAAGGAGAAAATTTTGTTCTTTAAGTTTCGTTTTTGTTCTTTTTTTTTTTTTTTTTGCTGTTGATAAGCATGAATTGTGAACAGTATGAGATCAACATAACCCTCTCCAAGTCTACGAAGGCATCATAATACAAATTTAGGAAAATGCTACGGTCCTGTTACGGAATCATTCCGAGTTTGTAACCGTGAGATTATAATGTAACCGTCTGGGATAGTTGATCTGACGGTTATAAATCCCAACGGAATGGTTTTTTAACGGGACCGTAACATCTCCCATAAATTTAATCAGTCATAATTAACTTTTATAATTTAGTATAATTAACAACAGTTTCATCATGATGAAAAAGGTTGAATTCAAAGATCCTAAACTGATCCTAATAATGACCATATATATACGCACAATTAGTTAATGATCGATCACTATGGATTCTCGAGAGGTGTATGGATACGTGGGATGAATGTATACTGTAACTAATAAGTTGATGTTTGAATAAATTTGAGGTGAAAATAAATAAACAATGAACTTGCAAGAGAGCTTAATCAAATAAATAATGATCTTTTCCCTTTTTTTTCATGTGCCCAAATTTTCTGATTAATTCTCAAAACTCGTCTCGCTTTACATTCGTGTTTTCTTCTCAATTTAGTTTTTATATTCCACTATAAGAATGATACAACAATTTCAATGGATATATTTCAATACTATTATTTCCGTTGGAATTTTTTTAATGGATTTCAACAAAAATTCTAAAAAAAATATTCCGTTGGAATGTGTTTTCTATTGGACATATATGCAGCTGAGTTGTTGAGTTGATGTTCTAGCATGTTTTTCTTGATTAGTGTGAGCTTACTTATATGTGGAATTTGCGATGATGACATGAGGGTCTGTTTGGATTCAATGTGCTAATTTAAATGACTAGAGTTGATTATATTCGGTTAAATATCTTTAGGTATTTTTATTTTGGGATCAAGTGCATGAGGGTTGTTATTTTTGTGATTTATTTATGGCAAGTTGATTTTGAATCGAATTGTGTTGTTGAGATGTGTTTTTGGTTATCTAGATCAATGTTGGCTATGTTTAGTGACTTGATGTTGAAAGTCGGTGTTTAATGTCCAGTGGTCAATAATAATGAATAACGAGGTTGGAGGCCGAAGAATAATTGGTGGAGTTAAAAAGTCGTTGGCCAACAAAAGGTTATGGGTTGCAACAGTTGTCAATCTGTGGGGGTCTGTAGTGTATAAATCTAATAATTTATGTATTTAGACGATCATAAAAGGCTAAAACCCACGGGTTGTGACAGAGTTGTCTATCCCTACTTCATAAAATGAAAAAAAAAAATTAAAAAAAAAAGAGGAATAAAAAAGAAGGAGAACGAGACATTGGATATTGACACAAAACAAAGAAGAACTAGGCTAGTTAGCATAGAGAAGGGTGTCACAAGTTGCATTGGTCGATATATTCGTTAGATATTGATGAACTATGGCGGCCACTTGAAATGATACGTGATTATTTGTGTTATTAGAATAATTTCATCTTGAGTCTCGATTAATTAATTTGAATTGTTTGAACTATGTACTTATATGAATTTGTGAGACTCTGAGTAATATTCCACGTACTTGTTTATATCTGATATAGCCACACTGGCTCATAACGGTTCGTATCATCTCGGTTCGAAACTATCAAGTCGACTTCAACAAAGTCGACTCCGCCAGTAAGGCTCCACGATACTCAGTCAAGAATCCCGGCTCTCGACTGAGTCGACGTACACCTGTCGACT